GAGGCTACCGCTCTAGGTGCTGGTGAGGCTGCTGCTCTAGGTACTAGTGAGTCTGCAACCCTGGTACTGAGTCGACTGAGGCACTACACACCTTCACACTGGACTCAGGTGCTTCTCGCTGTTTCTTTCGTGACCGCACTGCCCTTGAGCCGCTTGCTCGGCCAGTTGCTGTCTCCCTCGCTGACCCCTCTGGGGGTCCGGTCATTGCGACCTCCTCCACTGTCCTTCCTTGTCCTGCGGTCCCGTCGGGCACACTGTCAGGTCTCCACCTCCCCTCGTTCTCTACGAACTTGGTGGCGGGTTGTGCGCTCCAGGACGGGGGTGTTCACCAGTTCACCCCTGCCTACGAGCGCGTGACACACTGCACGTGTGCTCGGACGGGCCGTCACCTGGCTACCTTCACTCGGCAGCCGGGGTCGGACCTGTACACACTGACCACTGAGTCCCCTCAGGTAGCTGCGTCTGCGTCTGCGTCAGGTCAGCTGTCGGCCCCCTGCTCGTGTCGCTCTCTGGCGCACGAGACCGTCCTCTGGCACCACCGCCTTGGTCACCCGTCCGTGCAGCGCCTTCGTGGCATGCACAAACGGTACCTTGTCTCTGGACTTCCCAGGGTTCTACCTCCCCTCCCACCCTCGCCTGCTCCTCCCTGTCTTCCCTGTGTCGAGGGGCGGCAGCGCGCCGCTCCTCACTCCTCGTTTCCCCCGACGACTGCTCCCCTGCAGACGCTCCACATGGACGTGTGGGGCCCAGCCCGCGTTCGTGGACAGGGTCACGAGAGGTACTTCTTGATAGTTGTTGACGACTACTCGCGCTACACCACAGTCTTCCCCTTGCGCACCAAGCGTTTCCACTCGGACTTTCCTGTCCTGCGCTTGCACTCTGACAGAGGTGGTGAGTTCTCCTCCGACCTCTTGGCAGCCTACTGTGCGGAGCACGGCATCCGCCAGTCGTTCACGCTTCCGGCCTCTCCACAGCAGAATGGGGTTGCTGAGCGCCGCATTGGCTTGGTCATGGAGGTCGCTCGTACCTCCTTGATCCATGCGGCTGCCCCCCACTTTCTGTGGCCATTTGCGGTCCGATACGCTGCGCATCAGCTCAACCTCTGGCCCCGTGTCTCCTTGCCAGAGACTTCCCCGACACTGCGTTGGACGGGAGAGGTTGGCGATGCGTCGCGTTTTCGGGTCTGGGGATCTCGAGCTTTTGTTCGCGATACGTCCGCGGACAAGCTCTCCTCCCGCGCTGTTCCTTGTGTCTTCCTTGGCTTTGTCCCGGACGCGTCTGGTTGGCAGTTTTACCACGCCACCTCGCGCCGTGTCCTGCCCTCTCAGGACGTCACTTTTGACGAGTCCGTGCCCTACTACCGCCTCTTCCCCTACCGCACTGCCCCGCTCCCCCCCCCGCCTCTCTTCCTCGCCCCAGGTGCTGCTATGGTAGACCCCCTCCCCCCTCAGGGTGCCGCTCCCTCAGGTGTGTCCCAGGTAGACCCGGTTGAGCCTGTCGAGGTAGCTGTCGACTCTCGTCCTGCTAGGGGTGCTGAGCCTGAGCGTGCGGAGCCTGGGGGTGCGGAGCCTGGGGGTGCGGAGCCTGGGGTTGCGGAGTCTGGGGGTGCTGCGTCTGGGGGTGCGGGGTCTGGGGGTGCTGAGTCTGGAGGTGCAGAGCCTGGGAGTACTACACCTGGAGGAGCTCTCTCCTCACAGCAGCTGCGTGAGTGGTACTTACAGTACTGCAGCCTCAGGAGAGGTGCCTCTGGAGCGAGGAGTGCTGCTGGAGCTGGTGCTAGTGCTTCCCCTCCTAGGCGGGAGCTGCCCTCTCCCCAGCGGCTCCGAGAGTGGTACGCGCGGCGCTGCAGTCTCCGGAGTGGCGCTCCTAGTGTCGCGGACCCTGGTGCTGGAGGTGCTACTGCTGCTGGCGGTGCTGCTGGTGCTCCTGGAGGTGCTGCTGGTGCTGGTGCTACTGACGCTGCTGGAGGTACTGCTGGTACTGGTGGTACTGCTGGTGCTGCTGGAGCTGCTAGAGGTACTCCTACTACTGGAGGTGCTGCTGGTGCTGAGGACCCGGGCGTTGGAGCTGCTGCTGGTGCTGAGGACCCGGGTGTTGGAGCTGCTGCTGGTGCTGCGGACCCGGGTGTTGGAGCTGCTGCTGGTGCTGCGGACCCTGGAGTTGGAGCTGCTGCTGGTGCTGCCGACCCTGGAGTTGGAGCTGCTGCTGGAGCTGAGGACCCTGGAGTTGGAGCTGCTGCTGGTGCTGCGGACCCGGGAGCTGGTGCTGCTGGTGTAGCTGGAGACCCTGGAGCTGAGGGTACTGGTGGTGCCTCTGCTGGTTCTGGAGGCGCTGCGCGGCCGCGGCCGTACTTCGTTCCGCTCCTTCAGCAGGTTCTTGGTCGGCCGCCTCCCCCTAGTCCTGCTCCCTCCTTAGAGTGTCCTCCGCCTGTCCAGTCGCAGTCACAGTTACCGCCTGCCTCGCCACTCCCTGGTCCTTCTCCTTACACTGGTCCGACTGGAGGTCTCACAGAGCGTCGTGAGCCTGAGTCTCGTCCTGCGTCGCCAGAGTCTCGTCGTGCGTCACCTGTTCGTGCTGCTCACACTGGTCGTCGTGTTCCGCGTCAGCGTCCTCCTGCTGTCCCAGGCACTCACCAGATGGCACTTCGTCCTTCCACTGCTCCTCAGCATGTCCCTCTGCCGTCTCCTCCTGCGTCTTCTCTTCCTGCTCTTGCTGACCCGGAGTCTGACTCCCTTCGTGCTGCCAGTCCTACTGTCACGCGTCTCCTCGCCACAGTTGTCACTGACCCTTCCTTTGAGTCCTCTGCTGCGTCTGCTCTAGTCGCTGAGTTAGTTGACTTTGCTGCCGCTTGTCGTCTAGACTACGCCGCTAGCCTTGTTGCTGAGTCTGAGTCTGAGTCTGTCTGTCCTTCGTCCGTCGGGGGTGAGTGTGCTCTTGGCACGGACGTCCTTGAGGACAGGCAGGAGGAGTTTGAGTGCTTTGCCGCTGCGTTACCTCATCTCATGTCCATGCTGGTTGCCCCTGAGGGAGACCCGGATGCTCCAGACATCCCGACCCCGCGCTCTTACGCTGAGGCGATCGCGGGTGAGTACTCCTCTCAGTGGCAGACAGCCATGGACGCAGAGATGGCTTCTTGGAAGTCCACAGGCACCTACGTCGACGAGGTTCCCCCACCTGGGGCGAACATCGTCAGTGGCATGTGGATTTTCAGGGTGAAGCGGCCGCCGGGTTCTCCGCCTGTCTTCAAGGCGCGTTACGTTGCACGAGGCTTCAGTCAGCGAGAGGGAGTTGACTTCTTCCAGACCTTCTCCCCGACCCCAAAGATGACCACTCTTCGGGTTCTGCTGCACGTCGCCGCTCAGCGTGACTACGAGCTCCACTCTCTTGACTTCAGCACAGCTTTCTTGCAGGGCAGCCTGCACGAGGAGATCTGGCTGCGCCGCCCACCTAGCTTCACTGGGTCGTTCCCTCCTGGTACCCAGTGGAGCCTCCGACGGCCAGTCTACGGTCTCCGCCAGGCGCCGCGTGAGTGGCACGACACACTGAGGACTACACTTGCGGCTCTTGGGTTCGCTCCTTCTACTGCTGACCCGTCGCTGTTTCTACGCACCGACACTTCACTGCCGCCGTTCTACATCCTCGTATACGTCGACGACTTGGTCTTTGCCACTGCTGACACTACGGCACTCGCCCACGTGAAGTCGGAGCTGCAGAAGAGACACACGTGCACAGACCTGGGTGAACTGACAAGCTATCTTGGCTTGCGGATCACCCGGGACAGAGCACGGCGCACCATCACCTTGACTCAATCACACATGGTGCAGCAGGTCCTTCAGCGCTTCCGCTTCACGTACTCCTCGCCTCAGGCCACTCCTCTGCCTACCGGTCACTCGCTCTCAGCTCTGCCTTCGGATGAGTCCGTAGAGCCGAGTGGCCCGTATCCAGAGCTTGTGGGCTGCCTCATGTACCTGATGACCTGCACTCGACCTGACCTTGCATACCCTCTTAGCATCCTTGCACGCTATGTCGCTCCTGGTCGTCACCGGAAGGAGCACATGGATGCCGCTAAGAGGGTGTTGCGTTACTTGTGCAGTACGTCGGGCATGGGGCTAGTGCTTGGAGGACGAGACCGAGTTGTACTCACTGGGCACTCAGACGCTTCTTGGGCTGACGACCAGGCTACTCAGCGGTTGTCTCAGGGTTACACCTTCAGCCTTGGCTCTGGTTCTGTTTCTTGGCGTTCTACACGCTCGTCTTCCGTTCTCAGCTCCAGTTGTGAGGCTGAGATCTACGCCACAGCCATGGCTGCACAGGAGTTACGCTGGCTCACCTACCTGCTGACCGACTTGGGAGAGCGGCCTCGTTCTCCTCCAGTGCTGTACGTCGACAACAAGGCTACCATTGCCTTGTGTGAGGAGCACAGACTGGAGCACAGAACGAAGCATATCGCTCTACGGTACTTCCTTGCTCGAGAGCTGCAGCAGCGTGGTCAGCTTCGTTTGCGTTACGTGGCCACTCGGGCCAACACTGCTGATGTGTTCACCAAGGCGCTTCAGCCTTGTGACCATCAGCGCTTCTGTACTGTTCTAGGCCTTGTGCCTACTGTGCCTCACTTGCTTACTTCTTGACTCTGTTTGTACTGTGATCTCTATATATATACCTGCATACTTACACTTGCTAGGTTGTGCTCACTGTACCCCTTGCTATATTATTAAACTGCATGTGAACTGGTCGTGTGACCACTTGCTTGTGCTCGGAATTTGTGTGGTTTCCTCGAGATCCACCCTGAGCTTGCTTTGCCCTTCCTGACTGGTCTTGTGACCACTACTTGCTCTGGCTATCCCCCATTTCGCCTATGGGGGTGTGTCAAAACATATGCATAATTGTATCTAGGCTATATTGGGGCTAGCCTTAGGGGGTACACAAATAGTCTCGACACTCTAGTCTTGTACCCCAATCTTCACCTAATCACCACTTTTCTCGTTCCCCTGCTAGTGATTCTAACAGTGCGTGCCGTGCGCGCCCACCAGATGCGGGTCGTTGAGAATCTTGGCGCTCGGGTTGCACTCGCCGCCGATGCGCACCTGAAGCGGCACGGGCTTCGCCTCCGTGCTGTACTGCGCGGTCATCTCTCCGCACGTGAAGTCGATCTGATCGTGGATCAGGTAGCACGCGCCCTTGCCCTTCTTTGTCGATGGTAATATCGGGAATGTACTGCCAGTACGTGCACGCCGGCGTCGCGGCGCACGTGTTGCAGCACGACGCGGGGTTGGCCTTGAGCAGCGTGAGCGGGTTACCCGGCACGTACAGCTCGTACCCGAGCTTGTTCTTCTGCAGGTACGCCGTCTTCCATTTGGCCGCAATGCCGCCCTTGGAGCAATTCTTGGGCGTGCACGCGCCCGCCAGCTCCTTGTTCAAACCCGGCGGGCATTTCTGCGCGTTCCACCCGGCCTTCTTCACATCAGCCATGAAGAAAGAATCCTGCGCCGTGTCCACATAGGTCAGTCCAGCCGCGTTGCCCGACGCCGCCTGCTTCGCGATGTCTGCTGGGAGTTCGGTCATGAGCCCGTCGTCCTTCTTGCTGCTCGGATCAGGCTTCTCGTTCGCCGTCGAGCTTGTGATGGGGCTGCCGGCGCGCGCTGCCACGAGCAGGAGCGCGAGGGAGAGCGCGAAAACCGCATCTCGAGCCATTCTGAGGCGCTGGAAATTCAAGGTTATTAGGGAACAAAAATATAGAAACTATGGTATCTGGGATGGGTGAATCTGTGACTTGTGATGCTGTGTTGCTGACTTGGTCTGTCGAATTTACGAGTGAACTTTTTATGTGCAGTGCAGGACAGATTGGGCTTGGTGTGTGTCTCCATCCCTGCTGTGCGCCCCGGCGCTTCAGGAGCGAAAACTGGCTCAAATCACGAAGCGCAGGGTGAAACCTAAATTCGTCAGACATTCAGTCATACCTGCGAGTCCGCTGAATGGAGACGCAGATACATTCGTCACGTGATTGCTGCACCGTGACCATGTTCTGATCGCGTGTGGGACACAAGAGTTTTCACCTTTAGCAGCTACGTAACATAATACTTTCGCTTATTGTCCGCAGAAATAATTCGCTTACTTGATGCTTACTTTGTTTACATGGATATGGATATATGGATATATATTTCACATTACACTCTCCCGCATTGTTTGTGTGTGCTGCCCGCAGTTCAACGCGTCTGAATGGTCACAGGTGTGTTGGCCCGTGTCTACAGTGACTAACTGATCAACAGTTCCCACGATGTAACACCTGGACTGGACATGGGCTGTCCCCCAGTCAAACCTTTCGGGTTTTCCTCGCTAAGAACAATGTTCTATGTTCCGATGGCAATGGTCCTTAGTGAGGTATATTTTACCTTCCAGATATTTAAACATTTTCCTCTTTGAGTTTCCCTGTTGTTGTACATTACCTATGTTGAGTACAAAGCAGAATTACCCGGACCCACATGCTTTGTGTCAACAGCAGCACCAGTAAAGCCACACTGTGCTTTGTACAGAAATCCTGTACTACACACGAAGCAATACATCAAACCAATGAACACTTAAATCCACAACCATTTCTCTACTCCATACCAACCATCAATAACCCAGTCTAAGCTGGCGGCATGGCCCCATAACTGAACACCCCGCTCCGATCAAACCCGCTAGAATCAAACGACGCATCCAAGCCCTCCTCATACCCCTCTCCACCCCTCTCACCTCCATCTCCACCTCCTCCCTCACCAAATCTCTCTCCCGCTTCGTATGGTTGACCAGTAGGAGGAGCAGCAACCCCGATGCCACCACTGATTCCACCTGCGTTCCCACCAGCCACACCTGCTACAGTAACACCTGCTCCAGTTGCTCCTCCCCCAACAGCTGCCGATGCCCCCCGAAACGCTGCAACTGGTGCAGGTTTCATCTGGACGCCTACATCGTGACTCACAACATAGGCCCCATCATAATCTCTATCCCTCACACCCCGAATATCCCCTCCAGTGGCTTCCGCAGCACCTGCTGCTGCTCCTGCTGCCCCTGCTGCCCCTGCTGCTCTGCCCTTGTATGCCGGGGGTCCTGGTGTTCTTCTAGAGGACGGAGGAGGAATAGGCGCATCAGATGGAGGGGTAAGTTGCGGTTGAGAGCAGTTCGGAGGGTTAAGGGAGTCTGGAGTGTGAGTTGAACTGGCATCGTCGGCACGTGAGGGAGAGGCAGAGCTGATTGCTGCAGCCAATGCAGCACCTGCAGTACCTCCCACTGCCAAACCTGCTACCCCCGAGCCTGCCGCCGCCGAGCCTGGCCCCCCTTCTACACCACCCTGCCCCACCTGCTTCCCAGCTCCCGCAAACCGCGTCAGCCCCGCCCCACCCGGACCAGCTCCCGAGCCTGACGGCGCGGTACGGAAGTCCGCCGAGTCGTGCGACGGAGGTCCGGAGGAAATGAAGCGGGAAATCGCCTCAGGCTCGAGAACAGCCTCTAGCTCAGCCACCACTCGGGACATCGAGGGGCGGGCGGCGGGGTTCTGAATGTCGGTGCAGCGGAGGGCGAGGTCAAAGACATGGTACAGCTCGTCTGCAGGGTACAGCCCCATGGTTGGGTCTACGATGGAAGGTAAGCCGCCCCTGTCAAACCGATCCTTCACCTGGGGAAGGGAAGGGGAGAAAGGTGATATGGATATGTTTGAGGCGGTTGAGTGCGGTGCAGTGCAGGGCAAGGTCAAACACGTGGTGTAGCTCGTCTGCAGGGTAAAGGCCCATGGTGGGATTCACTATGGCTGGTAATCCCCCTCTGGTAATGGGAGGGTAGGGGAGAGCGTCGCAGGTGTAATGGGAGGGGTTTGAAACGTTTGACTGCGATGCAGCACAGGACAAGGAGCAGTGCAGGGAAAGGTAGATCACATGATGCCGGCAGCTGGTCTGTAGGGTAAAGCCCCATGGTTGGATCCACAATGGACGGTAGACCCCCTCTGTCAAACCGATACTTCACCTGTTGGAAGGGTTGGGGAAAAGAGGGGGGGAGGGAAAGGGAGAGGGAAAAGCGGTTGAGTGCGGTGCAGCGCAGAGCGAGGTCAAAGACGTGGTGCAGCTCGTGTGCAGGGTACAGCCCCATGGTGGGATCCTCTATGGCCGGCAGGCCCCCTCTGTCAAACCTGTCCTTCACCTGTGGAGGTAAGGGGAGGATGGGAGAGGGAGAAAGGCTGTATGAGGCCGTTTGAAGCGGTTACGTGCGGTGCAGGGTGCGGAGGAGCATGTGGTGCAGCCTCGTCTGCAGGGTACAGCCCCATGGTGGGATCCTCTATGCCTGGTAGGGGGGGTTAAGGGGAAGGGAGGGAGGGAGAGGAAGAAGGGCGGCATGGGGCGTTTGAGGCGGTTGGCTTGGCAGGGCACAGCCCCATGTTGGGACACTTCTTCCACGATATTCCAAGCCCCAGACCCATTCCGCCTCTCCCTCCCTCCTTCACCACAACACCCCCACCCCCCCCCCCACACACCCAATTTACTCACCTGATTTCCCTATCCCGCATTGTCTCACATCGAATCGGTAGGGGCGGTTGACTTTGTGCGGGCCCTTGCCGGTGAGCAGTTCGAGCAGCACGATGCCCAGCGAGTACACGTGGTGTGGTGTGGTGTGGTGTGGTGTGGTGTGGTGTGGTGTGGTGTGGTGTGGTGTGGTGTGGTGTGGTGTGGTGTGGTGTGCCCCCTTAACCTCACACAGGCTACTTCCCCTGGTTCCCACCCTTCCCCCATCCCCCCTCAGCTCACGTCGAATCGGTAGGGGCGGTTGACTTTGTGCGGCCCCTTGCCGGTGAGCAGTTCGAGCAGCACGATGCCCAGCGAGTACACATCGATGCGCTTTGAGGAGTGCCCCGTGCGCAGATAGTCCGGGTCGCAGTAGCCCTGGGGGGTGGAGAAAAGGCACAAGGGAGGGAGGGCAAACAAAGGCAGTGCGAGTGGGATGAAGGGATAGGGTAGGGAGCGCCCCAACAGGGACGAGTGCGCAAAATGTCGGGGTCACAGCAGACCTGCTAGAGTGGGGGGAGAGGGGTGGGCAGAAGGAGCGGGGACGTAGGGGGAAAGGAGGGAGCACAGAAGTCGACTGCCTTATAATGTGGCGATGAGCACTTTTGAGGCGCCTCAAAAGTCGACTGCCTTGTAATGTGGCGATGAGCACTTTTGAGGCGCCTCAAAAGTCGACTGCCTTGTAATGTGGCGATGAGCACTCACAGCGGCGGTGCCTTGGGATGGTGACTGACAGCTTTCGCAGCTCCTCAGGAGTAATGGGCTTGGACGTGCCGGCCGGAAGCAGCAACACATGGCATGGTGCATGCGGGCAATCACCAAACACAGTCCATTTGCACCACCACTCACTCACACACCATTCCACTGCCCAAGAAACAGCACTCACAGCGGTGCCTTGGATGGTGACTGACATCTTCCGCAGCTCCTCAGGCGTCATGGGCTTGGACATGCCGAAATTAGCAACACGTGGCACGGCGCTTGTACCAACGATGTTATTTTGCACCGAATTGCTTGCACACACCACTCCACTATCCATGGACACTCACAGCAGTGCCTTGGATGGTGACTGACATCTTCCGCAGCTCCTCCGGAGTCATGGGCTTGGACGTGCCGAAATCAGCAATCTTGGCCACCACGTGCCGGTCGATCATGATGTTGCTGGGCTTCACATCCCGGTGGATGAAGGGTGAAGGAAAGGTGGGTGAACGGTGGGGGCAACATGGGGGGAAGGTTGGGGGAAAGTTGGGGGGAAGGTAGGGGGAAGGTGTGGGGAAGGTGGGGGGAAGGTGAAGGGTACCCAGCACTCACAGCGGTGCCTTGGATGGTGACTGACAGCTTCCTCAGCTCCTCAGGCGTCATGGGCTTGAACGTGCCAAAGTCAGCAATCTTGGCCACCACGTGCCGGTCGATCATGATGTTGCTGGGCTTCACGTCCCGGTGGATGAAGGGTGGGGGAAAGGTGAGAGAGAGGTAGAAAGAGGTGGGCACTATCCAGCCCAAGAAACAGCACTCACAGCGGTGCCTTGGATGGTGACTGACATCTTCCTCAGCTCTTCCGGAGTCATGGGCTTGGTCGTGCCGAAATCAGCGATCTTAGCTACAACGTGCCGGTCGATCATGATGTTGCTGGGCTTCACGTCCCGGTGGATGAAGGGCACGTTGATCTCCTCGTGCAGATATGCTAGTCCCCGTGCAGTACCCGCTGCAATAAGTAGCCTCTCCGTCCAGTTCAGTGGGGGGCGGCTGTGGCCTGTGGGGTGGGGGGAAAGAGTGAGAATGGAGGGGAGGGGGTTGGGAGGGGGAGGGAGGAGGGTAATGAGGACTGAGGGGGGAGGGAAAAGGGCTCACTCTGCCTTTTATACAAGGATAACTCAGCAACCCGGAAATCAGACTCCTCCGACCACTCCAAAACCGTACTCACGTTCTCTCCAGGTCGGGTTGAGGTTCTGAGACAGGTTCCCTCCCGCCACATACTCATACACCAGCTGCTCTCCTCCCTCCCTGCAGTACCCCACCAGCCACCCCTGGATCCACCCACCCCCCAGCAATACAAGCCGTTACCCACCCTAAGCCTGGAACCCCCAGCAGCCTAGCAGCCAGCAGCCTTACTCACGTTCTCTCCAGGTCGGGTTGAGGTTCTGAGACAGGTTCCCTCCCGCCACATACTCATACACCAGCAGCTGCTCTCCTCCCTCCCTGCAGTACCCCACCAGCCACCCCTGGATCCACCCACCCCCCAGCAATACAAGCCGTTACCCACCCTGAGCCTGGAACCCCCAGCAGCCTAGCAGCCAGCAGCCTTACTCACGTTCTCTCCACGTCGGGTTGAGGTTCTGAGACAGGTTTCCTCCCGCCACATACTCATACACCAGCAGCTGCTCTCCTCCCTCCCTGCAGTACCCCACCAGCCGCACCAGGTTCTTATGGCTGACCCGAGACAGCAGCTCAATCTCCTTTCGGAATTTCCCCGCATCCTGCTTCCGGTCTGCCTTAGCTCTTTTCACCGCTACCACATCCCCCGAGGGTAATTTCGCCTTGTACACCATTCCGTAGGTACCCTGCCCGAGATGGTTGCCCGAGGCGAAAGTGTTGGTGGCGTCTACTAGGACTTTCAGGGGAAAGCTGACCACCTTTTGGATGTCAAACGTTCCCGTGCCTCCGCCCGAGCCTGGATCGTCAGGCTCGGGCCGAACCTGCTGCTGCTGCTGTTCTGCCTTTGCACGCACCGCCTCCTCCTGCTGCTGCTGCTGCTGCTGCTGCCTCTGCTGCTCCTCCTTTTTTAACCGCCGCAGCTGCTGCCGCCTATCCTCCTCCTCATCTCCCCCCTCTTCCCCCCTTCTCTCCTCTTCTTCCTCCACCCCATCCCCCTCCCTTACCTCTCCACTCCCCACCCGCCCCCCTCTCCCTCTTCTTCCACCCGCCTCGCTCGTTGCCGCCTCCTTCATCTTCCCCTTCCCCCTGTCCTCCCCGCCTTTGCTAGAGCTTCCCCCTCCCCCTCCGCCCGCCCCCTGCGCCCTCAACTCCTCCTCCGGAACCACAGAGGAAGTTACGGCCGCACCTGAGGCACCTGGGCAGGGGGGGTCGAGGGGGGGAGGAGGGGGGGTTGACGGGGGGAGAAGGGGGGGGTGACGGGGGAATGGGGGGAAAGTTTAAGTCTGCGCCATAGCCTCTGAGATCTATGCACCAGCTCCTCCTCAGAGGGGAGAAGGGGGGAGAAGGGGACAGGGGGTTGAAGGGCGGGAGAAAGGGGGAAGTGAAGGGAACGGGGGGGGGGGGGGGAACGAGGTGAGGAACGAGGATGGGAGAGGGGAGCGGAGGGGGGAGGGGGGGAGGGGGGTCTTAAGTGGGGAGAGGAAGGGGGGGGGGGTGTGTGAAGGGGGGGTGGGTGGGTGAGTAGGAGAAGACATATAGTAGCCGCCTTCCCAAGCAGCTGAGAACACCCTGACACATTGCCCCAATAATCGCATACACGTTACTTGATTCCTTGTAACACCGGCGATGCATTTCCCCAGCACACCTGAAGATTCTCCTGGCCGTCTGGGCGGCAGTCGCTTCCATAGCATGCACGCGACCACTGTAGCACCCATCGATACAAGCACGGACACCGCGAGAGCCACCACCAGCGCTACAACCACAACCGTGTCGCTGCTGCTGCTTCCGCTGCTGCTGCTCCCGCTACTATTTCCGCTGCTGCTGCTACTCCCGCCATTGCTCGCGCTGCTGCTGTTCCCGCTGGAGTCAGCAAGCAGCGTTCTACGCGGCCACCGTGGTGAGCTTGTATCGGGGACGGCAGGCAAGCCGCGACCGGACGCTTCTGCCGACGGCGTTTGCACTTGCGCGCAGGAGCGCGCGGCGGAGCTGGCCAATACAGCGACGACGAGAACCACGTTAAACGATGCTATGAGAAGCGTGGGGAAAGGCCGTGTCTGCATGCTTAAATCGCGGCTCCAACAGATGCTCATGGTGGGAGCACGTGCAGAATGCTGACACGCTGAATGTAGTTGTACCTCCTGAGACCTTATAGTTGGTAGTACCTCCTAGAAGATGAGCATAAGAATTTCATTAGTCTTGGTTGTCTTGGCATTTCTCAAATGCCGACATCCAAATACGACCCCAACTTTTGAGACTTCTCAAATGTAGGCACACTAAAGTATTTGTACCTGTTAGAAAGGGTTACAGCTAACATGCGAGTGCCTGACCGCATTGCCGGTTCGTAGCTTAAGTTGCGGGACTTTGGCGTTCGAAATTAAGCGAAGCGGGGTGAGAGCTGTCAGGACGTAAAGCTACTGGTGGGGGTTCTAGACGGTACCTCCACTCGTGCTGGTTTTAGGAAATAAATCTTCTGGTGCTGGTTCTAATAGGAACGAAATCGCGAGGGAAATAGAAATATGAAAACATGGTTGCTCAATTCAGTCCAGACCGCTGCGCTTTTCTGCGGTTTTCGTCATGCGCTGCTTTCGTTCAGAAGTTGCAATGCTTCTGGCGGTTCAAAACACCCAACAGGGGCACCAAGACAAGGAAATATATGTTACAGGGAGCCACGAATAAATAGAAGCCCGAGGCGCGAATAAATAGAAGCCAGGAGCCGCTTCTTACTGGAAATGCTTGACACTAAGTAAGAACTATTAGTATGAATGCTTCTAAAGCACTAATTATTGTGGAAAAACAACGTCCGAGCGAGCCACCAGTTCACTCTCGCCCTACCAAACCATTCCATCCATAGATTTACCGTCCAAAAGCGCAAACCGCCTCACTCGACCGCATTCAAACGAACTTCCGGGACACACCTTCTCAGCTGGGAACGGTGCGTGGGTGGGTGGGACGGACCAGTGAGAATCAACGACGGCACAGAGCAGGAGCAGAAATATTGCCGCGCTTTCCGAACCACCTCAATTTCCGCGGCAAACATTTGTCGAGGTTGCCCGTGGCAGGCAAAACCTTGGGAACTTCGCAGCCTGAAATGTTGTCGAAAATAAGGGCAGTGTGTGCTTTTTTTTTTTGGTTCGTATATTAGGTCGAACTTTAGGTGGTAACCGGTTTCGCCAATGTTCGCAGGAAAATTCGCCAATTTTGACCCCGATTTCATAAGTACCAGGTGCTAACTTTCAAAAGTGAACAAGATTCGAACATATGCACAAACTTTGTGTAGCACACTGAACCGAACGTGTGGTTTCAGGCACGTACGAGGAACCAGCGAAGCTCGCGAATCTTTCGTGCACCAATGGAGGCACATCCAAGACCCATAGCAGAGTCCCCCGCGCAAAGCCCAACACGTGGGATGCGTCGTGGCACGATAACGTTTCATGGGTGCGTCTCATCCGGCGCAGGCGATTTGGCTGTGAAATTCCCGCCAACAATCCGCAGAAGTGGAGGTCTAGCGTTCACTTTTTTTAGCAGCGATTCGTTGACTTGTCGCGCTGTCAAAAGAAGAATACCGGGTAACCTACGCACCATATAGGCGGCTCGGTTCCCCCCCTGTAATCTCGAACCTGCAAATTCGCACTTTCGTGTGTGATTGTGAATCTACAAGCATTGTCACCTGCGGTTCGAACATTGCCAATGCTCAAAGTCGAGTCATGTTCAGCTTGTGTTCAAATGCTTAAATCGAGTAAAAAACATAAACTTATGGCAAAATCAAAAATCACACATGCCCTAAAGCAGAAGAGGCTTCACCCTCGGAATTTCCTTCCCACCCCAGCCGAAGAGGTTGCGGACAGCACAGCACAGCAACAGATGTGCGAGTCTATGCTTCTATGAAACCTGGAGCCCCAGGGATGGCGCGGAACATCTTCCTGCCACCCTCAGCGCAACTCCAGGGCAGAGGCTCTTTTTTTTGTTGCAGACCGTCAAACCTTCTGTCTCAATGAGAATAGGTTGGTTGGATGGTCTGACAGCTAAACGGCCAATCAAGACAAACAAAAAAGTTTATCCCTGCCCTTAACTACTTGTGCTGTCCCTTGGTCTGCTCTCTGGGCCCTGTTCTGTTGCCGCACCACTTGGTGCGGACCCCTCCGCACATCACCAAATTGATGCTTCTTCCGGGGTTCTATCGGAGATCCTAGAGGCTTCTTTTACGAGGGTGTATTCCTCGATACTAGGCTCGGGAAACTGAACCTCTTCCCGGACCTAACGAGAGCAGTGCAGTCCGTCCGCCCAAAAAAACGGTGAACCTGTGTCGCAAAAGCTATCCCCCACTCACTGGCAAAATGGTGTCAAACTTATATACTATAGTCTGTCTTGGCTGTAGTGGGGTAGTTCATATAGGGTACAACACTTTTAGGTTTCCTACTTGTACCCACCTGCTTGCTAGTTCAGTCATTCCTTCCTTCACTATTCTGACATGGTATTCTGAGCAGGTTCTCTCGTGGGAACATTTTTTTTAGGGCCCACCACGATCATTTTTTTTCCTGCCTTGCCCGAAGCGCGCCTCACGCCTGCCTCACCTGCGCCGTCGCGCCCCCTACCCTAGTGCCGCCCGTCGCGGCCCTGCCTTCTCGGCCCGTCGCGGCCCTGCCCTAACGGCCCGTCGCAGCCCCCCCCCCCCCCCCCTGCCTTCTCGGCCTGCCGCGGCCTCTGCCCTGCCGCGGCCCGTCGCGGCCCTGCCCTGCCGCCACCCGCGGCCCTACCCTGCCGATGCTCGTCGCGGCCCTGCCCTACCCTGCCGTCCAGCCGCAGCCCTGCCCTGCTGCCGCCCTGTCGCGGCCCTGCACTGCCGCCGCCCCGTCGCGGCCCTGCCCTTCAGCCGCCCCAGTCGCAGCCCTGCTCTACCGTCGCCAAGTAGCGGCCCTGCCCTGCTGCCGCCCCAGTCGCGGCCCTGACCTAACCACCAACTGCGGCCCTGCCCTGCACCCACCCCTGGTAAGCACCCGCGACGCCCAGCCGAGCCGCGCCGCTCCTCCGAGCCGCGCCGCCTTGCCGAGCCGCGCCGCCCTACTTAGCCGCACTGCCCTGCCCGCGCTGCTCCTGCTGCTACTGCTGCTTCTGCTGCCACTGCTGCTACTGCTGCTACTGCTGCTACTGCCGCTATGGCTAGCCCTAATGTTCTTACCTTTGATGCTGAGGGGCGTGCGGTTGACTTTGACGTGTGGGTTGACGACCTGCAGCTCTTTCTTCAGTGTGACTCTAAGGACGGAGTATCCCTTTTCGATCACACGTCCGGCGTCTCTCCTGCACCTGCTGCCACTGCTGACAGTACGGTTCGCTCGCAGTGGACCACTCGTGACGCAGTTGCTCGCCTTGCTGTTCGTAGTCACCTGCCGTCTGCTGAGCGCGCGCACTTTGGCGAATACAAGACTGCTAAGTCTTTGTATGACGCTGTCGTAGCGCGCTACTCCTCCCCTGCCACTGCTGCCCTCAGCCGCCTCATGCTGCCGTACCTGTTCCCTGACCTTGCCGCCTTTGCCACAGTCGCTGACCTCATTACTCACCTCCGCACTAGTGACGCCCGCTACCGCACTGCGCTTCCCACTGAGTTCTGTGCGAAGAACCCCCCCCCCCCCCCATGTACATCACCCTTTACTACCTAGTCACCCGCCTCCCTGACTCCCTTGCTTCAGTCAGGGACCACTTTCTCTCCCTTTGCCCCACCGAGCTCACCGCCGACCTGCTAGAGGAGCGCCTCACTGCAGCTGAGAAGAGCATCGTTGCTGTAGGTGCTTCTCGCGGCGACCCTCGCGCCCCTTTCTTTGAGGGGTTTTCCCCTGTCCCCCTTCTCCCCTCTGTTGCTTCTGCTGCTGCTGTCGACCTCGTTGGCACTAAGGAGGTCGGGGCTGCGTCTGCTCCTAGTGGGAGGCGCCGCAACAGCAAGGGCAAGGGGGGCAAGGGTGGTGGAGGGGATGGTGGGGGCGGCGGTGGAGGCGGTGGAGGAAGCGGAGGGGGTGGCGGTGGAGGTGGGGGTGGTGGCGGGAGTGGGGGCTTCGGTGGCGGCGGTGGGGGTGGTGGAGGCAGCGGCAGCGGCGGTGGAGGCAGCGGCAGCGGTGGTGGAGGTGGCGGCGGCGGTGGTGCTGGTCGAGGTGGAGCCGCGCAGCGTGGAGGCTTTGGTGGTAGCCAGCGCCAGCAGCAGCCGCGTTCCCGTGAGACCCCGTCAGCCCAGCAGCTTCGTGAATGGTACGCTGGGCGTGGGAGGTCTGGGGGTGTTGGTCCCTGCACTTACGTTCTTCGCACAGGCAGGCGCCGTGGGGAGACGTGCGGGCTGCCACACACTACGCAGCGCTGCTTCGGTTGCCTGACTGACGCCTGGCACGCCCAGTTTCCTGACGCTGTTGAGCTCCCTCGCTGGGGTGATCTGCTTAAGCAGAATGTTGCTATCTTTGATCTAGATTTTGATGCTATCCTTGCTGCCATGTATGCTGTCGCTGATAGTGCTGAGGGTGACTGTTACCTGTGGGTTCCGCCCGACCCGGGCATTGAGGCTGCTGCTCTAGGTGCTAGTGAGTCAGCTGCTCCATGTACTAGTGCGTCTGCTGCTCCAGGTGCTGGTGAGTCTGCTCTCTCTGGTACTGCACCTACTGAGGCCTTGCACACTTTCACACTTGACTCTGGTGCTTCGCGCTCCTTCT